AGGTGATCATCCATTATATTCAATCGGAACCATTCACTCTGAGAACCAACTGAACCACTATAGTATGGTGTATACTCAAAGAAAAAAACATCCATGGATATAAATCGCCGACGACTAGGAGGATGGTAACACCTATAACCTTTTTGAGAGAGAATAACCCAAAAACACACACTTTAAAGCCTTGGGGTCAAGCTTTGTACGAGTTTGCCCCAACTATTGAACAAAGCACACACACCCGAAGACTCGTGGAGGAATCAAAAATAGAGATGAATTGGGATGTAAGATTGAGAGTGGGGCTGCAAAATTAAGAATCCTAGGAGTCCTATTAATGATGTAAACAGCGGTAAGAACTGCATCTCCCCAAAATGATTGGGGAACATTCATGCCAATGCAGATTGCTCTGGCTAAGTCAAGGATGTGGCGATTCTTTCTCTCAGAACGACCATTCTGTTGAGGAGTTTTAACATTAGCCAGCTGATGGCAATCCCAAATTCTGTACATAACCGTTGTACCTCCCCATAAGTGTACTCTGTACCCTGGTCAGATCGGAATTTTTTAATGGTACGACCAAATTGAGTCTGAACCATTGTCATAAAATTTTTAAAAATGGTGTATACCTCATTTTTGGTTTTCATAAGATAAACCCAAGTAACACGACTATGATCATCAATGAACAACACGAAATATCGAAATCCAAGACTAGAAGTAACTAGGCAAGGACCCCACACATCTGAATGAACAAGATCAAAAGGTGTTAAAGCAGTTATATTACTACTAGCAGGATAATTGGAACGAACATGTTTAGCCATATGACATGTTTCACAGGATAAATCTGACACTGCCACGTTACAAAATAAGGAAGGAAATAAATGTTTCAAATAACCAAAAGAAATATGTCCTAAACGCATGTGCCAACGCATAAGCTGGGCTTTATTAGATGAAACAATATTAGAAAATGAAGCTGAATGTGCTTGCGGTGACAAAGGAGCATCCAACAGGTATAAACCGTCCACTTCACGCCCACTGCCAATCGTCCGTTTCGACACCACCAGATCTTGAAATATACAATGAGAGGGAAAGAACGTTACACTACAATTTAATTGTTTGGTAACGCTACTAACAGAAATAAGATTTGTAGTCAACTTTGGAACATGAAGTGTATTTGACGAAGTTAATGAAGGAGTAACTGATATGTGACCCTTCCCAGCAATGGAAGATGGAGAGCCATCTGCAAGGCGGACCTTGCATTGGCTAGAGTAGATAGTATAAGATTGGAAGAGTGAGGACATACTAGTCATATTGTTTGAAGCACCAGAATCAATGATCCATGGTGTTGAAGATGTAGATACGCTATATGTAGATGCAATCGTACCTGAGTGGGCATAAGTGGAGGTTGGCTGAGATGATGCCTCCATTTGGTTGAAGAATTGCTTGAACTTGTCCAAATCAGCTTGAGTCAAGGTAACTGTGGCAGAAGATGTAGAGGCAGGGTTGTCAAGAGTTGACAACGAGACTGGTTGTCTAACAGAATGTGCAGAGGATCGAGGCTGTTGTTTCTGTCGCGGTGGACGTCCATGTAGAGCATAACAACGAGATTTGATGTGACCAATTTTTCCGCAATGGTCACACAATCCACGTTGTCGTCCCAGAGGAGGATCGGTGGTAGTGCTCTGAACTGACTGGGATGGTGAAGTTCCTGAAAGGTTGGGAATCCGAACTGCCATAGCAGAACGATCAACAGAAGCAACACCTAATGGATAAGTCCGGCGGCTCTCATCTGACAACACATAGGAATATGCATCCTCAAGAGTAGGGAATGAAGATAAGCCTAATAAATGAACACGAGCATACTCAAACTCGTCGTTCAACCCGGTAAGCAATTGAAACACTCGATTCTTCTCCACAATTCCTGTAAATAAAACTGCATCATCTGGATCCTTCCAAGAGTGGAAGGAATCATAATATGACATCTTCTCCCAAATAGCACGAAGCTTGGCGATGTAACCTGAAACAGTCACCCTGAGAAATCCTGGTGATATCTCGCCCCAGCTGGAAAATTTGTGCATTATTCTGCCTCTGAGAATAAGTGCGTTGAACTGAATCCCAAATCTGTTTAGCAGTCTTCATAAACATATAGCAAACAGCTATGTTTGGTTGCATCGAATTGACTAGCCAAGACATAATCATAGCGTTATCTGCAAACCACTGTGGATATGCCTTCTCTGACTCAGCTGGCTCTTTCTCAGAACCAGTAATATAGTCAATCTTGCCTTTGCCACCAATGAACATCTTGGCAGACTGTGCCCAAATCAAATAGTTGGAACCATCCAACTTCACTATGGTGATTTGAAGTCCTGGATTTTCTTATGAGTTTGGTGGGAAAAATGGCACCACCACCTACAGAACGTGAGCCAAGAGAATTAACAGTCGAGGACCCTGAATCTGCCATAATTTGTCACATGACAATAAAAAGAACTCCAAAAACACCACAAATTCTGTTAATAAATCAAAGGGTCTCCTCAGACCATAAACAATGTCTCCTCAGACCATTCCCGAAAAATCCAAATACATACCTTTTTTTTAAGGAGCGCTGCCCGCTTACATATAGCCAAACAGCCTCCTTCTTAATATTCGGAACCTCTTTGTAAACTAATTTTTTTTTAGCCAAGCCCTTATAGGTGTTGGAAACCAACTATCCCAATTTACCCAACCCTAGAAGAGCGAAAAAGAAATTGTAAAACTTAAAAATACCTGTTTTCGATCACAAAATAGCAACACAGAAAAACATGTGTAGGCAACGTCACACGATGTCACAAACAGCCTAAGGTAGCTGTCGTACAAGTAGCAAGGTTGCTGAAAGGTGTGGAAATTCGCAGCTCTAGTATTTATAGATAAAATGAGCACATGCTCATATTACAAGAAAGGAAACTAAATCAAATCATTGCATATTCTATGCCTAGACATATGCGTAAATAAAGTCAAATACATGATTTGTGGCTATCATATCTCACAGATAATATGGTAAATCAAATCCCATGATTTGGGCCTATCATATCTCGGCTATTATGGTAAGTTATACCATAAATCGTGGTATCATAAATGCTAACAGTTATATAGTAAAATTTATAATTGGAAGGAAATTGACCGGCACCGGATCACCAATCATGGTGGAGGATTTTGCTCCACAATTATATAGAAATATGTATATATTTCAACTATATGCACATCCAATATACCTCTGCTCAGTGGATGGTGATATCTTTTTTTGTAACATTTGGGTGGGTGGTTGATCTGATAATGGTTGAAAACTTGCTGACGAAGTGATGGTGAACTGGGTTAGAATCAGAAGACCGGCTTTCTCCACATCCCCATGCCTATTCAGATGTTTGATTTTGCATGGTTTCCCTAGTGTTAGAGCTCTCCTGTGGACAGTTTCCCTCATGGAAGTTAGCATGCATTCCCTAGTGCATATCTGATCTACGGCATGATTGTCTATCAGTTTTTTGTCAGCCTAAGATCTGAGTCATCCATCGAGAGCATCATATCTTTGCTTCATTGCACTTTGTAGGATGGTGGTAAAAGAGTCGAGAGCGAAGTAATTTCCTAGAATAGCCATATCATCCAAGTAATCACACAAGCATAACATCTTTCTTTATTGATACTTTCTAGGAAATAGTGGTAAAATAGTTGGCATCATAGAATTCTGCCATTTTGGCAGCAATTTTGGTGAGGCAGAACAATTTTTTGGATTGTTAAAGACACGTAAAATTTAGTGAAGACTGATATGCTTTGAAGTCTCTATGTAGCTTGTTTCAAAGACATTTTTCTCCTAGACAATCGGAATTAGTTGAGGTGTCTTGGTCTGTTTCATTTATACACAACTGAAAAAATCAGTCTTCTGGGATAATGGACAGTTGCTTGTTTTTCTTTTTGAACTTTGAGGTTGGGGGGGAGAGATGAATCCAGTTTTAATCTTGTTCACCCCCGGTCCCTACTGTCCCTTTTCTCCATATCATCAACATTTATCCACAAATAAGCCTCTATGTATGACATCCTTTCACTCTTTCTGTTCCCTTCACTGGTTGATTGACAAGCCCACTGGCCTCTGGAGCAATACTGTAACTTCAAGGCATGCCACTAGCCCAGGTGCTCGCTATGAAGGCTATGAGCCTTACAACTGGCTAAACGAACTTTTTTTATAGCTTGAAAACTTTCTTGACCTCAGACTTGAACTGCACTAAACTAGCAGTCTGATCAGATATGGCAGACGTATAAAGCACAAATCATATTAGTATAATTATTCCAATATCAATTAAAAAAAAAAAAAATCACAATATTCACATGTAAAATACATATAAGTCGACAACTGAGTAAATATTAAAACTAATTAAACCTCAATGACTTAAGACTGATTGAACTCTTCAAAACTCACTCAGTTTGTGGATCTATTTTAGGCAATGGCTATTAGGCGACTTTATCAGACCTCTTACATTATGTGTTTCCAACATTATCTCCTTGGGTCACCCTGGCACAACCTCATCAACGGACTGTTCCTTATTTTTAGTGTTAGTCAATGTAAATAAAATTTAAGTTATTTTTAGTGTTGGTCAATGTAAGTTACTTTTAGTGTTAGATGCTGATCCTTCAATCCTGCGCCTAGTTGATATTTAGAAACCATTCCACAGTGAGTCATTTATCCCCATCCATATTTTAATCTTGTTTCTGGGTTGATATAAATGGCCCTTTCAACACTAGTAGGTATTTTGATATAGTGATATATCACAATGTTACCTTCATTTCATAACGAGATTGAAATTATGCATGAATAAGAATTTATTAAAACACCGATACAGCTGTGGAGTGAAGCAGATGACTCTATGAATTTCATTGAAATTTGAATTCTTGTATTGCAACCACGATGTGGTTGTGACTGCTATTTGCTTCAGCTGTTGCTGAATTTCTGTCATCTTTCTCAGCTATTATGAATTCTTTCATGTCAGATTTGAGCATCCTCTTTTGATAGAGGGAAGAGACAAAAGCGAGTGGGTTCTTCCTATAACCGTGCATGCACCTCCACCGGGGACTCAAGCGCACATCCGAAATGAGAAGAATCTCTCTTTTGAACCATTGTGGGCTCATAATTGAAAGTAAAGAAACCCTCCCCTGCTTTTTTTTCCCTACTTTTCATATCTAAATATTCTTGCATCTCTCTCTATACACACGCACACCCAGAGCCATATATTCTTTGTTTAATATATTTTATTAAGAGAATTCTTATTGGCATGAAATCTAAACATAATAAGATGGTATTATTCATCAGATAATTGAACCCACCCCACCCCACCCCACCCCAAGTCAAGTCATTTTTATTTTTAATTTTTTTCCTCAGTACAATCCAAGAATGCGTATAATTCATTCTTTCGTCATCATGTTGTCCTGTGAATAGGAGAAACCAATTCACTTTGTTGGACAACATATCTATCATTAGATTTAAACACAAACTAAGCGGATTCTATCTATTTTCATGGTACAAGAAAGTGACTCCCCTCTCTCTGCTGACATCTTGCAAAACCACAAAAAAGAGACATAACTATGCGAGGAATGCAATTACAATCCCCCTTCCTCCTTTCTTATTGTTGTTTTCCCCCCATATTGGCAGGGTGGAATAACACAGTGGAGCTTAATGAATGCGTTTGTGCATCAAGATCTCATTGGAATTGTCTTTGTGTTTCACCACTTGTGAGTCACGGTTCCCCAAACATGACACTTTTTATGGGACGGAGGGAGTAGTCCAAATAATTTGATCATCTGTCTCAGCAGAGAAGTCGGGTTCTTCAGGTTTCTGTAATTTTGGCAGCCCCACACCTTTAACCTTCTGAGCTCCTTTCCTAGTGTTTGCAGCAAATCTTGAAGCCAATATTGTGACTCCAAGTTTTGGTTTTGTCTCACTGGAACTCACAAGATCATGGTCCTGTTCCTTTAGCCCAGATCCACTAGCCACATTATCATCCAAAACAAAGGACTCCATTGTAGTGAGATCTTTTGACATCCTTCTCCTCTTGTACCGTCTCCAAGCAGCCTGTATAAAGCCCACAATGGTTCTCATCCAAACAAAGAACATTAGGAAATTTTTGTAGGCATCTCTCTCTATACACGCGCACACCCGGATGCATATATATCTATATATATATATATATTTCCTAGTTGGTACTCACACACACTTGTCTCTTTTGAGACTTAAACCCCTAATCTCCCTTTGAAAAGTAAGAGGCTGATACCGTTAGGTCACTGGATTGTTGGTAACCGGATGCATCTATATCTGTCAGCTATAGTACTCAGTGTCTGTTTTGGTTGCATATCTCCGAGAAGTCGCCTAAAATTGCTGATTTGCCTTCACTGTATTGTTTCAGCAGGTGATATGTTCTCTGAAGAGATTTTGTGGAATGGGAAATCAAAATGTTGCAGTGCTTTGAAGAGGTGACAAGATGGACTTTTGCTGCTGCTACCTTGTTATGTGTGATCCTAGAATATAATCTCTAGCCAAGCGGATTCTCTTTTTTAATTTATTTATTTATTTTGGGTTAATGAATGTAAAGGTTGAAATGGATTTTTTTAAAATTTTTGAATTTCTTTATGATCTTTCTCTCATTTTGTGATGATAAATATCCTATTGTCAATGATTCCAGTTCATTTCAGCTTCTCGAAATTATAGAAATAATGAATTAACATCCTTTGAACTCTTGGATTTAAATGGTGCATATTGCGATTTGACCTCCTAAATACAGATTCAAATTTGAAAAGAGAAATGAGCGGGTGTTTGGTTAATTTCAAATTAGGAATTCATTTGTAATCAATATTCTATTCCAATATCAACAGGCCAGTGGCCTAGCGGTACTAAGCCACTACTTTGAAAAGAGAGGTCAGGGGTTCGAGCCTTAGTGGAGGCATGTGTGTGTGAGTACCCAATTTAGAAAAAAAAAAAAAAAAAAAAAAAATTCTTTTCCATTTTTGGATTCACCGTGGATCAATTTTTAAATATTCATTTGTAACTGGTAAACAATTCCTATTCTCTTATTTGGAATAAACCATTCATTTAATCATGAAATAAAAAACAACTGTGTTTGTCATATAAGTGGATCATTACACAAAAAATATCTGTGTATAAATAAATATAGGGTAAAATGCAAGAAACCCCCCAGACTATGGGGAAATCTATAATTAACTTCCTGAACTTTCAAAAATGCAAGAAACTTCCTGAATTATGCAAAATTGTTGCAGATCACTCCATTCGTTCAACGTCCGGTGATATATGGCCGTTAAAATTAGTTTATTAAATTTAAATGACCATACTGCCCATAGAAGCATGAAAGGACAATAATACCCTTAATTTTAGAACACCGACCAAACAATCCTTTATCAAAATTTCCCAAAATCCACTACTCTGATTCTCTGAATCGTCCCTGTAACACGCGAAGTCTTAAAGGCGTTCTCAATTTCCTAGTTTGGGGGATCGTATGGTTTTATGGCAAAGATGAGTTCATTAAAATCTAGTAAGACAAGATCATCGATTCACCGCATGTCAAACTGTAACACAGGGGATGGAATGGTCCGATGACTATACAAAGGACGGAATGGCGAGAAGCAAGAACTGCCAGTGAACAGGACGTCATGATGCGACAGTATTTCAAGCATCCCATAAATTTTCAAATTGATCAAGAAGGAGACAAAATATTGCAGCCAATCGCCGCCGATCTGTCCGTGCGACCCTCTGCCTTGCCGTCGCCGCACCAGTAGTAAGCCTCGTCGCCAGCGACTGTTCCTCTCTCTCCGGGTCTCTTCTCAGTTCACGACCCGCCGATCTCTTAAACTATCGCCAGAAAAGTATGCATAAATTCCAGCTTCGGAGGTCCAAGCTGCATCCAATTTCTTCACCGCCGTTGAGAGTAATGGTCCGGCAACCCGTTTTATGCTTTTTAACAATTTCGGCGACTTGTTCAACCAGCTGCCATCGCTATCATCACCAGTCGTTCTTGCTCAGCTGCAGCCAATCGCTGCCGATCCGTCCGTGCCACCCTCTGCCTTGCCGTCGCCGCACCAGTAAGCCCCGTCACCGGCGACCTGTTCCTCTCTCTCCGGGTCTCTTCTCAGTTCACAACCAGCCGATCTCTTAAACTATCGTCAGAAAAGTATGCATAAATTCCAGCCTCGGAGGTCCAAGTTACATCCAATTTTTTCACCGCCATCAAGGACAACGCCGACCTCATCTGGCCACCGACGCCGACAAGTCTCTGGTCTAGACTCTAGACACAATGCGTCCGCCTTTTCTGGTCTCTTCTCTGCCAAAGCTCACATCACGAACTCTGCAAATCCATGACCGATGGCGACTCATGTTTTCTCTCTAGGAATTCGCTTCCGCAGTTTCAGTAGCCACCGGCGAATGAGAATTCCAATTGAAGGTGGTTACGTTGAAATTTCACCACTTGTCTTTGGTGTGCTGTCAATATCCCATTGGCTGTTGAGATTTTTTTTGCCACGTCAACAAATTAATATGACAATGCTTCAAACGGTGTAGTTTCATAATAAGAGCAAAAATGTCATTTACCTTTTTTAGTGACCTGATGGGGTAATATGCAACAAAATCAAAGTCCAAGAGATATTTTATAGTCCAGAAGGGATAGTTGCAAAATCCCCCACAGTCCAGGGGTTTCTCGCATTTTACCCATAAATATATGAGGGCAGGCCTTGGCACTAAGGTCACATTTGGAGGTCACACGTTATATTGGGATAACCCTTTATTTATATACAAATACATTAAAATTAATATATGAACATTTAAAGAAACATGTACAAAGCCAAATGTAAACATATATGTACGCACGTTTTGCTAGGTTGATGGGACTGCAAATTTCGTAAATAAAAATTGGTCAAATGTATCTTTGTTTTATTTTTAATTAGATAAGTATGTTATAGTTGCGAGACCAGCGTAAATTACATTTGAAAAGAGCAGACTTAAAAAATATATATATACATTTGAGAAAAACACGCTTAAAAATAAAAATAAAAGAGGGGGTGTTAAAATTAACGCTGCATGCATGCTCATCAATTGGTTCATGCATTGCACAGACATGGTATCTTAATTTCAAAGTTCTATAATCTTATTTTGATTCTTAAATATGCTTATTATTGTATGATTTGAACATTAAAATATGTTCTTGCAAATTTTTTTTTCTCGATTTGTAATTTTTTTTAATAAACTCATCATCTAATTTTTTATCAAAGAACTTCACTCAATTTGTAATTATTTTTAATAAATTTCTTTTATCTAATTTTTTACTAAAAAATTACTCTAAATGGTTTAAAAAGATGATCATTTAAAGAGAGTAAAAGAATTAATATTTACATCAAAATAACCTTTTATTTGAATCTTAATTTACTTGAAAGGAGAATCTTTTGTGAAATTATTTCCCAACTAGACGAAGTGATCTCCAAAATTTCAACGCTACTTCAGCAATCTCTTGGGGAGGGTCAATTACGGATGAATGAGATGATGGGCTATAGAATTTGAGAACCATTTTGTTTGTTACTTTGTTTTACAACATCATCGGTTCATGTTTTTGTACCATGTGTATTTGGTTGAGGTGATAGGGGGGTGGATGTAGTATTTTCCGGGATATATGGGTTAGTGTTTTGGTCTGGTTCAGCATTTAATGCAGTGGTTTGGAAAAGTTGGATGTTTGGCTGTGTGTAACGTGGTTTGGACAGATGCCTGCAGGGGACCTGTTGTCTGCCCTGGTGATGTAACTAAAGCAGTGTTTGTCATGATGGCTTTGATCGTCTCTATTCTCTCTCACTTTATATCTTTCACACATCAGTCTCATCTTCTCTCTCTCTCTCTCTCTCTCTCTCTCTCTCTCATCTCACGGTTATAAAGCCTGTATAAACCAAATTGCATAAATATTTGGAGTCCGGACCTGCCAAAGCCTCTATAAATCGGCAGAAGCGTGATTCCTTAATCCTTACCAAGTTCTCTCTCTCTCTACAATAGACGGAGATTTCGCTGGAAAACTCTCCCTTCTCCGGCTATTATTTGACATTTTCAGGCGATTACTGGTAGGAATCATCAGGTACTACTCCAGAGATCAACTACTGTGTGTAGTTTTTCTCTCTTCAAACATATATATATATATATATATATATGTATACATACATAATCGGTTCGTTTCTGTTCTTCTTCTTCTTCTTCTCCATTTTCTCTTTTTATATGATGTAATGATAATTCTCTGTTTTTTTTCCTCTTCCTCTCTCTGTATCTCTCGCCATTCACCAGCAAGCCACAGAAAGCAGTGAGGTTCCGTTAAGAAGATGGTCCGGATTTGGAGTGAAATCGGACCATGCGACGACAAAGGTATACCTCCTCCTCCTTCTTCATAGTTGTCTTTCATTTTTGAAAGCCATGAAGTGAGGGTTTTTTTTTTTTTTTTTTTTTTTTTTTTTTTTTTTTTCAGAGCTACATTTCTTGGTACTCTTGAAGCTGTAGTTTGATATCTTGAAAGTTGAAACTCTATAAGCTGTAGCTAGGGTTTTATTTGTACTTGATATGTTATGATTTCTTGAAACATTTTTATTTTTCTTTTATCAAGCACACTTTACTCATGACCCAAAGTTAAAGCCTTTCCTAAAATAATCTCACCGGCATAAACAATATAATTAGAAAACTAAGAAAAGGATGTGTATAAAACAATATAATTAGAAAACTAAGAAAAGGATGTGTATAAATATAAATGGAGATATGGGAAATGCAGAGAGCAGGGTTCCCTAATCTGTCCGGATTTTTCATTCCAACCATCTCTATGCATGTCGGTTTTATTTTTTATTTTTTGTTACAAATCTATTCATCTCTCTCTCTCTTTCTTCCTCACACTCTCTCCCTTCTCCATCACTTCACGGACTGTCCTCTCTCACTCTCATCTTCTCCATTTCTCAGACACTTGCACATTTTTTTTTACTTCTTTTTCTTTCTATTAAATCTTTATTCATATATTATTTTATTCATGTTTTGCATTCTTTTTTTTTGTTCCCCCTTCTGCTTTTTGTTAAGATGTGAATCAAAATGCTTCTAATTAAATATTTAAGTCTATGTTTTTAAATTTTGTTTAAGTTTTGTTCTCGTAATATAGGTTTTATTCTTGCAAAGAAGAAACAATTTGGATTGAGTAGAGCCGGAAAAAAGAGTAAGTTATTTTGTATTTATTATTTATTCTATTTTATTTATTTTTAGTTAAGCAAGGTTATTGTCGATTTGATAAATTTATGTAGCTGGTAAGGGAGACATTTCCCAAATGGATTTACTGCAACTTTTTGATAGTTTTAGAGAAGGATTGCAAAAGTTTAATTAATATTATAAAATTTTAAATTAGTATTATTGTCTAGTTCTATTAAAATTTTGTAAGTCTCTAAAACTGTCAATAGTTACAATCAATCCTATTAGACTTGGGAAAAGAAAACATAGAATAACCCAAAAAAAAATGAAAATAAAAAGTTCAAAGAATATTCAATATTAATTTAGTGGATAAATCAAATGAACAAATTGTCTCTTAATTTTGTTAATAAATTTTGACATATTTATTAGCTTATTTATTATATATTAAACAAAAAGAAAAATTGTAATTAAGAAAAATTGAGTTTTTGAAAACATAAAATTATTTTCACATTTACAAATCCTGTAGGCAAGGAAGAAGTGAATAGATTATCTGATACATCTTGTGCAGGTTACTTTGTCATCGGATTCTCGAAGATGAATTTAAATTTTATTTTTGGTGGTGGCTGTAAAGACATGCAGTATCTCACATCAAATTTGAATTGAAGAAGCAGCCAGGAGAATCTTTCACGCAGGGGTTATATTTTTCGAGCACGCATGGACTATATCTTTCATTCAGAGGAAAGAATCTTTAAAGCAGCTGAAAAGGATGGTAGACACTCTTGGCAGAATTGAGTCCCTATTAACAACTATATATAGTCCATTTTAGAACAATAACACTCAGTTTGATGGAGTTAACAAAGGCATTTCAATCCCTTTGACACGAGATAAATTGACTCTATTGCTTTTTGACTTATAAATGAACCCTATTTCACTCAGGAAGTTACTATTTTAACCACCTTTTAATCTCTTTACCAAACTCACCGACCACTGAAGAAGAATAGCAGTGTGAAAGCCATACAAGGAGATAAATAAATAAATATATATATTTACACAACGTGAGTTAAAAATTACACAGCGACGGATAAAAAATTTGCCGTATATTTTGTAATGTATCATTGAAAAAATTGTTTGTAATGTATCATTGAAAAAATTGTTTCCACCGACGGCAATCTTAGTTCCCTCACTAGCATAATCAGTGGCCCACTAATGCTCACGAGATTACAATCACTGCTGATTTCTGAGTTACGAGAGCCCCTACAGCGTAAGTGGGCGGTCAACAACAACCTCTGCCGCCACGATGATGTCATCTTCCTCAATGCGCGTGCCACGAGCATCCTCTACAACGTAAGCGGGCGGTCAACAACTACATCTGCCTTCACGATGATGTCATCTTCCTCGATGCGCGTGCCACGAGCATCCTTTGCAGCGTTGTTTGGGGTTCTTTGTTTTTTCATTTTAATTGTATATATATATATATATATACACACTCACATGTAACCACACACAATAAAATATTGAAGCTCTGTTTTTTCCTAGTTTTTTGTCTATATATTATCTTGGTCTTGCAGTGTTATAAATTTCCACAGTCCACTTTGTAATCAACTTACGAGAACGCTTAGTCAGTTCTTTTTGGAAAAAAAAAAAAAATTAATTGCATTTATTCATATATATGTGTGTGTGTGAGAGAGAGATAGAGAGCAAAGAATCAGTCCCATAGTCCACTTGTAATCAACTTACGAGTCCGCTTAGTCGATTTTTGGAAGAAATAAAAAATTGTATTTACATATATACATATATATATATATATATAGTACTAATTGAAGCTCTCTTTTTTCAATTAATTGCATACACAAACATATATATGTATATGTATATATGTATGTATGTATGAGCTACTAAGCAAAGAATCAGTCACCAACCAAGGACACTGGCTCTTAATATTTAATTTCCTAAAGAGGAAGCCAAATGACCGCGTTTAAATGATCAACAGAGAAAAGAAAAGGGGTGAACTAGCTTCTTACTGCTCACTTCATTGATAAAGATAATTAACCCGTAAATAAGTATCACAACATCTTCTTGTATAATTAACTCCAAACCCAATTATAATTAATAACCATGTCGACAGTTTTTTTTTTATTTTTTTATTTTTTATTTTATTATTATCAATCAGCTTTATTCTTTCTGTCTTACCAGCTATCTGTTCTCTCTCTCTTTATCTGTCTTTGGGTTTTATTTAATGGTCTATCTAAAAATTAAAAAGATAGTAATAATAATTCTCTTTCATTAGCCATTAACATAATATCAAGAAAATATTAAAAATATAAATGATTAATGTAAAATGTGTATAGAACCCAGGTAAAATGGAGGTTATTGGACCACTGTGAAGCACTAGTAAAAAATTTGAAAGATTGTAAAACCCTTCCTCGAACCAAAGAGTAATTTTACATTCCCACCCACTCGCACTTTACTTATCTTAGCAAAAATTGCTACTTATGCACCAAACCTTTTAATTAGTTTTTTTTTTTTTTTTAAAAATAAAATTAAAATAGGAAGAAATTAGAATAAAACGAAACAAGTAAATTAAAAGGAAATAAGATTTGAATGGAGTAGTTAAGGTTGAAAGTCAGATTTGGATTATTTTAAAGTTGAACATTACATATATCGGGTTAAGTTCGAACTGCACCTCTACTCTCTAGTGTCTCGTCAAGAATACAACATAAACAAGTTGTGCATGTCAAAGTTGTGATTCAGAAAGCATAAGGTGAAAATAAATACTAAAATAAACGATATAGACATGCATATAGTATATTGATATAGAGTTGCAGTAAACGAGTCCAATTGATGTAAAGATACAAATTTTTTATCTCATTCATCTTCAGTCCTATTGCCACAAACACAATAATAATTATTATAAAACACTAGTCCTCCGTTTGGTTGTAGGATAGAAAACGAATGGAGGGGGGAGGGAGATGGATGTATGAGCCAACCTTAGGGAAGGAGAGTTTCCCTTCACTTTCTGTTTTTGTTTGATTGGATAAAAAGTTTGGATGGGGAGACACCTTCTTTTTTTTTTTTTTTTTTGTCAATATACCCTTGTTATATAAACTAATAAAAATTAAATATTAATTTCAAATTACCCAAAAAAAACTTTTGAAAGGTTAAAATTGAAAATTATATATTAATTGGTTATCATCCTTTTCTCTCTCTCTTATCTTCCATCCAATTTTGGGTCAATAGAAAAATACAAAAAACAACGAGGGATGCTTCCCTCCAAGACTCCAACCAAACATGAAAAAGTTATTTTATCTATTCATCCTCAATTCTTCCCAAACATTCCATAAAGATTAAGGAACTTGTGTGTTCACTCATATCTATTAGAGGGAGTTATATCCTCCGCAATTATTAATCAGACGATCAAAATTTTAGAAACTAATTACAATTTATAGGTTTAGGGGTGCAATATGTCCCATTAGTTAATACTAGGTAAATTTAAATCCAATTGATTTACAACAACTAATTACAATTTATTTCAATATAAAAGCAATATAGAATACATTAAAGAATATGTTTAATAGACAAGGTTACCCAGATAGTATTCAAAAACAAACTCAACCTTCCACTCATCAAAGCCTCCTGAGAAGTAATTAATAAATGTATGAATATTATGCCCACAGTAAATCACAAAAATACATTGACTGTATTACCCTTTATTCCCTTGAAACCATTGGTGTCCTCTAAATGTGAAGGAATGGATATGTCTGCATTTAAAAAGTTTCTATTAATTTATAGAACTATGATTACACTTATGTAATAATTGTTGGAAACGGGAGCATTAAAAATATAAACTTTGGATGAGATTTTGAATAAGATTCCGCTAAAAATTGTTTGCGAATTTATAGACAAGCGCATTCCTCTCTGTAAGGAGATAAACGTGGTATTTTTACTTTCTCAAATCCGTTTTTGGGTGAATGAGAAATTAGCTCCAAAGTAAGGTATTTGATAAGCCTAAACGGGTTTACAAAATGTGGTAAATGTTTGTCCCATATCGGAAAAATATTAAAACCTAAAGGCACCATGAGACTTATATAAACCCTCCCCTAGGTTCATTCCAAACTACTCCAATTCAAAATCAGTTTCTCTAATTCTGAATTCTCTCATTCCTCTTCTTCTATAAGTGTCTATGGGTATGAACCCTTGTCTTTGGGTTCGAGCCTTAGTCAGTCACTCCTAGTCCAAGTTTAGTTGGTCATTTCGAGTTCGAGCCAGAGAGTACTACACCGAGCCGGTTCACCTATTCCTTTGGTTTGCAGTGCTACTGCTGAAGGAAGTAAAAATTGTTGTATTTTGGGAGATAGACGCCACTGAGTCCGTTAACACTATATCAGAGCGAATCTGTCTTAAGGATATAGAATAAAAATTGTTGTATCTTGGGAGATAAACGCCACTGAGTCCGTTAACACCATATCAGACCGAATCTGTCTTAAGGATATAGAATCAAATTCTAGCCTCGACTTATTTTCAGGTTCTTTTATATTGTTTTATTTTATTTTATAAGATATTATATATATATATATATATATATATATATATATATATAGATTATTATTTTATAATAATAATTATATATACACACACATTATATTTATGTATAATATTTAAATAGTAATACTATAGTGTATGACTGTGGTCTGTATATTTAATATATATCAGACGAATGACAAGTACAAGTACTACTATGCCTAATGTTACTGTCAGTCATGGGGAGAAGCTCGAAAAATTTAATGGGGCAGAGTTTAAAAGGTGGCAATAGAAAATAATGTTCTACCTTACAACTCTAAATCTGAGAAAGTACCAAGCTGAAACTGCCCCAGTGCTAGAATAGGGAGAAACTGACATTACAAAGCTAGGAGTTGTTGATGCATGGAAGCATGGAGACTTCCTATGCAAGAGCTACATCCTCAATGGATTGGACATCACTCTATATAATGTGTGCAGTCCAATGAACAGTGCTATAGAGCGAAGTACTGAACCTCTAGCATTAATTCACAGTGATATCTGTGACTTTAAATATGTGCCAACCAAAGGTGGGAAAAAGTATTTCATTACTTTTATTGATGGTTGCACAAGATACTGTTATGTATACTTGTTAAGAAGCAAAGATGAAGCCTTGAAATGTTTAAACATTACAAGAATGAGGTTGAGAATCAACTTGGCAAGAATATAAAGGTGTTTAGAAGTGATAGAGGTGATGAATACGAAATACCATTCGCTGACATTTGCTCAGAACATGGTATTATTCATCAAACTATCGCTCCTTATTCACTTCAACAAAACGGCGTTGCTGAACGCAAAAACTGTACCTTAAAAGAAATAATGAATGCTATGTTGATAAGTTCTGATTTAACTCAGAATTTGTGGGGGGAAGCTTTGCTTTCTGCTAATTATATTCTCAACACAATACCTCAAAAGAAAACAAATGTGACACCTTATGAATTATAGAAAGGTCAAAAACCTTCCTATAAATTCTTAAAAGTGTGGGGGTGTCTAGCTAAGGTTGTGGTTCCTACTCCTAAGAAAGTTAAGATAGGACCAAAAACCTTTGATGGTATTTTCATAGGCTATGCACAGAATAGTAGTGCATATTGTTTCCTTGTGCATAAATCAGACATTCTTGACATTCATGTCAATACAATTATTGAGTCAAAGGAATGCTTATTTCTTTGAGAATATATTTCCTTGTAAAAATCCTCTTAAAAGAAATAATGATATTGCTAATAGCAATATACAAGAGAATATAGACCAAGAGTCTATTGATGATGAAAATAAGGAAGAACCTAGACGTAGCAAAAGAGTTAGAACATCTAAGTCATTTGGTCCTGTTTTTCTGACATATATATTGGAGAATGAGCCACAAACCTATAAGTAAGCCATGTCTTCTCCTGAAGCTCCTTTATGGAAAGAAGCCATATATAGTGAAGTTGAATCCATCATTCAAAATCATACTTGGGAGTTGGTGGATCTTCCTCCTGGTACTAAACCTTTAGGGTATAAGTGGATTTTCAAGAGGAAGATGAAGCCTGATGGTTCAATAGATAAATATAAAGTTAGGCTTGTTGCTAAGGGATACAGACAAAAAGAAGGTTTGGATTATTTTGATACATATTCACCAGTCATAAGAATAACATCCATTAGATTGTTACTAGCTATTGCAGCATTGCAAAATCTAAAAATACATCAAATGGATATTAAGATTGCATTCTTGAATGGTGAATTAGATGAGGAAATCTATATAGAACAAACTGAAGGTTTTATTATACCAGGAAAAGAAAAGAAGGTGTGCAAACTTGTAAAATCCTTATATGGATTAAAACAAGCACCTAAACAATGGCATGAAAAATTTGACAAAGTGATGTTGTCAAATGGTTTTAGAATTAATGAGTGTGATAAATGTGTTTATATGAAAAACACTCAAAATGGATATGTCTTTGTGTACCTATATGTAGATGATATGCTAATAATGGGTAGTAATGATGTTATAATCAAAACTACTAAAAAGATGTTGACCAAAAATTTTGATATGAAAGATTTAGGCATAGCTTATGTCATACTAGGAATCAAGATTTTTAGAACATCAGATGGTCTAGTATTATCTCAATCTCACTAT